TTTTTTTTTTTTTTTTTTTAGTGAAATTTCACGCGTTGGAACTATTAAAAAGAAATAAAAAATAGTAGAGAAAAAGGAATAATTTTCTTCTCACAACTTAGTAAGAACAACACGACATCACAATGAAGAACAATACAGTAAACTTTTTTTTATCGCGGTAAAAGTCGTAGAAAATTCTGGAAATTTCATTCTCGAAGTTGTTTTGTATGGATGTTATTTAAATGATAAAAAATGTAAGAAAAAAAGTATTTTAAGAAACCACAATTACTGTACAAAATAATAATAAAAAAATTGACAATTTTATATAAATAGTTGACTTTCTGAGACACGAAACAAAAACAAATCAAAGCTTTTTTTCTTTCAAGCTCCCCCATTTTCCACAGAAATACATTGCATACTCCAATTAATTTTTCAACTAGAATATTTGATTTAGATTTAATAATAAGTTTAAAAAATAGTATTCATAATTTTATCAAAATAATACTTTTAATTTTATTATAATTAATACTATAATTAAAAATAATAATAATTTTAATTGTATATCGATGATTTTATGTACAATGTATGTTTAATGTATAAGGGGACAATTTAGGAAGTCTAACTTGCTCCTTTGCATCTACAAACTGTATAATCTCATTGCACGCATACAAGGTGCGACGAAAAATATTGTACAACTGTACAGGAAGTGATACCAATATGGAAAGCTCTTAATAAGGAAAGAAGAGAAATTTCACTTCGATTAATTTTCGATTAATTTTTATATAGGAAATCGCTTCCTGTCTTTTTGTGCCATTATTTTTGACTGCACCCTGTATATGAAAATCCTTCACTATCTCACGTCGGAATATCTGTTTAAAGGTGAACGACCCAAGTCCACGATATCAAACGTTGATAATATTTCCCTGAATTTATTTCGAATTTCGATTGTTTTATAATAAAATAGAAGATTCGAACGAAAATTATCTTATATTCATCGTTTAACATCGTGCTATTGGAAATTTTTCATTCATAGGAAATTTTAAAATGTATGAGGATGGAAATCTGATTTATTTAAAGAATTCAAAAATTGTTATTTCTATTTTTTATGTATTTATGATGTGCTTCAAATTTTAGTTCATTTAATAATTAAATGTATTATAAAAATCTGTAAAATAATATTTTGCCTAATTTTAATAAATAAATTTCAATACTGAAAAGTTAAGTTCTATTTTTCAGCTTATTCAATATTATGTATTAGAATTTTATCGTTATCTTTTAAAATATTATCTATTTTCCAAATAGAAAAAAATATTCAATGTTCCATTTTATTGTTTAAAATTTTTAATGCTGTAATTTTAAGAAATAGTAGTATAATGAAAAATAATACGAAATAACCAAATGATTGTTGAAATATTTTTAAAATGAGGTTTCGTTTAAAGAAGAACATATTTCATTTGTATTCTCAATATGTTTCGAAGGTTATCGTGCTAATTATGCGAGGCACGTTGACTAAACAGAACTTAAACAAAACTTAGAAATTTCTATTTATTCGCGAGTGTAAGCGTCATTCCATGTATAGCGTGTAAAATTAAAATCACATATTTATATACAGATCGTCAAGAATAAAATCTATTTAATATTCGAACATCATTCTATTTTTATTTATATTCCTCTAATTAATATGATAAATAATTTCAGATCGATTCCTTTATTTAAAAATTAAACGAGTTCTCGAGACATGCATAAATCGCATAACAAAATTAATTTTACTAAATTCAAATTAATTTGAATGAAATTCTTCTTCCAAAATAAAATAATAATATAAAATATTTAACTCGAAGAAATTCTAAATAACTTATGTAAATTCATTTATTGTATTACACAAATTGTATTACCAGATTTCTGTTTTTAATAAAATTTTATGAATACGTAAAACGTAATGAATTATATGTACACGATGCAATTTGTTTCAGCAAAATTCAAGAGGGTGAAATCAACGGTTAAAATTTCATTTGCTTTTCCAGTCCAATTCATTTCAGCAGATAGAAAAAAATTTTAATACCAGTCAAGTTTCTGTATCATGCATATCTGCTAAAAAAAAAATAATCTCAAATGAAATTATATTTCAGAACACATACAAAAAAAACTAAAACTTTGATTTCACCACTGAAGAATTTCTCCATCAAAATTACTTCGTATTATAATCAGATTATAATCGTCAATTTTCAATAAATTCGTATTAAAAAAATTTTCACGTTTTTACCACAAAATTCGAATGTGGAAAAATTTATGGAATACGTGATACGAAATGCACGAAAATAAACGAGCCACGGTATCGCAAATAAAAAAAATTTCTTTTTCGTTTAAAAACCATTTCTTTGAAAGTCTTGCACGAGTTGCAAATCCACTCAAAATTCGATTAAAATCTCTCGAACACTCGCGCCAAAAATTAATTTTCCACGGAAAATTGAAGAATGCGTAGAGAAACGGGATTACGACACCGGTCGATGAAATTTGGCGAGGATCAAATGGTGCGTGTGCACACGTGTGACAGTGTATACTCACCTGTGTAATCGAGATAAACACGCGTCGAGCCACGCCAAACGGATGAGAGGCGCGTGGTGGCCGCGCACCGTTCACGAACGCGTCACACCGACTGAACGTACGCTCGCCGATTGAGGTGCGGAAAATCGTTGCACAAGCGCGCGCAACTCCCTCGGGCTTCTCCCGATGCCATGCCGATGGAAAATCCTCTCTGTTGCTTCCTTCCACCGAGAGGAGCCGTTCAAAATTTCGCCCTGATCAACCGAGTGCAGAAACGAATGGAAGTGGATAGAGATGAGACGTTCTTTTTGTAATAGTCTTTTTGGAGTAGAGGATCTTTTGGAGTGAGATATATTTGGAATTTTACCTTTGGACATTCAATTTTATACGAATCAATCGAAATTTCGTGATATAATACGATAAATTTCGTAATATAATCGAATGAAGAGATGAAGGGATGAAGTGGAGAAAGGTAAAAAGATGTCTTTTTTGTTTTTGGAGTAGAAAGTTTTGAGGTAGTTATATTGGAATTTAGATTGAATTTAAAAAGAAATGGATGAAATGGAAAAGATAAGGAAGATGAGATATTTTGTTTTTAGAATAATAAAATAAGTAATAAAGGAATAATTTTAGGAAATTTTATACAAAAGTACAATCCAAAATCTTCTCGTTTATCTGTGCCATGTAAACGAGTTCTCGAAATAGAAATTGTTGATTAATAAAAAAAAAAAATGAAGTACAAATTGGAATCTGAAAAATACATACGTTTGATTATCTATTGGTTGAACTGCAAGCTTCGAGCATCTGGTTTCCACTGTTTCATTAGCAACCCTTCAAGTGTACAGAAAGGGTGCGTATCAAAGAATCTGGGGTGAATGATTGGAGGGTTAAAAGCATCGAAGCTTGAACAGCATGGATGTTTCTAAAAACTACTATTCGTTAAAAAAAAAAAAAAAAAATAATACATTCTTCAAAATAATATTTGAAGTCCTATTAATGGTTTTAAATATTAACATCTATTCTTCGTAATTCTGAAAATTATAAATCTTGTTATATAAATTTAACAAACAAATATTCTTTCATTATATTTATAAAAAATATAATAACATATCAATGTATTCATATGAATCAATATAATTTTTCGAATTTTTCAAAGAGAAATTAATCCATATTTATTGAAAGTTATTGGATAGTTATTGGATATTTTACGTCTGAAATACGTAAGAAATGTATATTTTACGTAGGAAATGTATAAAAGTTAAATCAATGCAACGTGAAGATATTGGTAAAATATATTTTTATATATATTTGCATCGCACTGTTTTCAGATATTACATTAATATCTATATTGGATACATCTCTAACGACACCACTTCTTATTAGTTTCAAGATGAATACTTTTCGCAATCACTTTCGATAATTTGTACTCTAGTAACATAGAATGTACATTCCCGCCATCCTTCTCAAATTTTTATCTTTCTCCTCCTTTATTTTCTTTTCTCTCTTTCTCTCTACATTCCTAGTATAATAATATGCAAATATAATATGGTAAATTATCATATTATACTTTTATCGTAGTGTCACATTTCGACAATGAAGAATGGAATGAACGAGATGTGTACTTATCGACGATATGTTCGTTTAAAACAAATCAGAGAATAGTATTCTTAATTCGGGGAACTTACTAGTTTTATCTGGTTTACAATTTTCATGTGCCTTTAATCGTGTTAAAAAAAATTATAGGAAAAATCGTGTGTTAAAAAAACACTGGAAATTGATTAACTAATAAATATTTCTTATATAATTTTTAAAAAAACGTTATATTTGTTTAAAACATTTTCGTTATCTCTTAATGTTTCGTTCTATCATTTACATAAAAATTTAACATAGGCATCATTATTTTTCAACGTACACCAAGTACATATGATAATATAATAAATTTCGAAAGCAATTAATTTCGAAAAAAGAATATATCTTCGAAAAAGATGTCGAAAGCTTATCGTATTAATAAATTTCTATAATCGATACGAGACACATCGAATATTGTTAACCTAACGATTATTTAAAAATTTATCTTGTTTGAATTAAAAAGGATACAAATATCTATATCGATTAAAAATTTCTCTTGCAATGATACTTTATATAAGCACAATCTGGTTAAGTGTAAAGAAATTTTTTTCGTCAAAAATACTTAGTTTAAAAATTTTCAAAAACATATCTTTCCAATGTATGTAATTCGTTCGATATTTGTTAATTTGTTTATAAAATAAAAACAAGTCTTTCCGTTTAACACGATAGATATATCTAATTATAATTATTGCTGAGGATCACAGCAGTAGTCTAGTCTTCGGAATCTTCGGCATCTAGAATAGATTTAAAACAAAATGGTTGAAAAGGATAACCTTGGCCATCGTAGAATTTGCTCATAAACTCCACCCTGGAAGAAAAGAAGAAACAAGGAACAAGTGAAAAATATTTGAAAAAAATAAATAACATAAATAAACTAAACTGTTCTAGAAATTTTAAAGTAAAATATTATGATATTTAATTAATAAATAATTTTTATTCGTCATTCTTATTGTATATCTATTACTATATCCATAAAATATTAATATTGCATAATCATTTCCATTTCGTTTTAAATTAATATTATTTTAATATGTCGAGAAAAATAACTAAAACGAATCTCAAAAAAAATTGTACGATCCATTTAATTTAAACAAAAAAAACATTAATATTTACATTAATTCTGGAAAAATCAATTTTCATATGTTTTGTCCACTTGCAAAAGAATTAAGAAATACAAAATTATCCCATTATACAATTATTCCATGCGCGTATAAAATAAAATATATTTCACAATCGTTCTATTCCCTAAACGAATCGTATTCGCGTTTAACTTTTTTTTTTTTCTACGTACCAGTGAAGTCGAAGCGTGTGAAGGAAGGCTGACAGGCCTTCCATCATGACAAGAATGGCAACGGTGAAAGAGGCCCACGCGGCGAACACGAAAAATAACATGATGGCCGATATATAATTACCCTCGGCAGCGAGTAAACCCTTGCGTAGAACCATCGACCACAAAACTTCGGAAAGTTGTCCGTGGGCCAACGACAAAGCCCACAAACGTAGGTAAGAGGCAGTGTGTGATATCGTTGAGAGAACGTATTCTATAGTGTGAATTGCCTGGTGTATCATTACTTCACCGAACGACTCGTCCTCGTGTTCATCGGTTGCCTCGCTGGTCGACGGGTTATTTTGCAACCCTTTAGTTTGCAATTCAATATCTTGGGACGCGATTCCATCACTCTGAAACATGAACGAAGGAAAGGAGAACATGAACGTAGAAAGCAAGCATAAAAATTTGTTTTACGATAAAAATCTTTGTATTATATCGCGTTATATTCTAATAATAAATATTTAAATGCGTTAAAATAAAAATACATTTACTTGTGTTAATGGAATTTATTTTCGAAATAGATTTACGTGTTTTCTTTTTTTTTAAGCATTTAACGCGTGCTTCGCATTTATATACGTTTAATTGTTAAAAGTTTTACGTTTCGGATAAAACGAAATGCGACGGATAATAAGTAGGAAGTTGAGAATTATTTACCAGGACTTTCCCAGTCTGTACGTTTTTTTTGTGCAATAAGAAAAAAAGTGGTTTTCCAAACAGCATGACGGGCACGCATAACGCTGCAATTATGACACAAGCAAGCTGAAGAGTGGTCTGGCCCGGAAACATATACTCTGAACAACCTTCTCGCACTTGGCTATGACCCCGCAGTATCATATTAATAAACGTGATCAATATCGATGGTGCACAGCCAGGAGTATACGCCATGTCTGTAAAACATGGTGAAATATCGTTAAATTTCATCTGATCGAAAAATTGGATAATTAAACTCGGATATTACGATACGTACCTGGCGAGGTGGGACTATATAAAACCCATTTAACAAACATTAAGACTACCAGGTAGAGAAATAATACAACAAGGAAAAGCAGTTGTGGCAAGAATTCTAAGAAAAGGCTCGAGTATTTCTTGAAATGTCTACAGAGAAATATAGAAATTATTTTTTATAAACAAAATTGCATTGAACAAATGATCGAACGTCGAAAGAAAAGATGAAAAGAGAGTCGAACGAATGGAAATGAGAAAAAGGATTGTAATCGAAAAGTATCGTAAAATTTTTAAGAGTATGATCTTAAGACTTTGATCGTCGAAAACATTGCTTCTTGGTTTCAAGAAAAAAAAAAAAAAAAGGAATACAATAGGAATACAACCCTTCTTATATTTAATTCAATAATTTCAATTCATTAAGTGGAAAAAAAAATGATGATGAGAGCAGAGTTTGTATTATTACAGATTGAAGTTATACGTTTCTAAAAACCTACATAATATTAATGGTACTCATGAACACGCCAAATATCATATGCACGACACCAAAGATGATGGACAGCTTCATTTTGTACGAATTTAAGAATATGATCTTGTTCTCGGCAAGCACCCAAACTGGATCCATACCCAATGGATAAGGGTATTGTTTGTAATCTTTTTTAGCCGGGTCCAATTCCATAAGCTCATTAGTCATGATTGTTTTATTGTCGAACCGTATGTCCCAACTAGACCCGAATATGTTTATTGATCTTGAGAATACGTCATTATAGATGATGCCAGTGTAAATGGAAAACAAACCCATGAGAAGTATAATGTAACGTCCGGCGAAAAATATATTCCAAATTTCGTTCGTTGTTTTTTCAGCCATAAACTTCTTCTCCTTCACGATCATAAACAGAGCGAACAGAGTCATAATTATACCTAAACAAATAATTACGCATGTAAATATAATAAATACGAAATAAGTAAGTGAGTAATCCTTACACAAAAATATTTATAAAAACAATAATTTATTTGTAAATTGTTATTTCACTTAAATTTTACTGTTTTCATTTCTTAAAAAAATCTTAAATTAAGAATTTGATTATGAAAGTCTGTCACACTCAAAAAATGATAAAATAAAATTTCGAAACAAAAGAAATTGTGATGAATTTGTTATTCGCTTACCATGTCCAAAATCGCCGAACATGATGCTAAATAGAAAGGGGAAAGTGATAATCGTATAAAGGGCTGGATTAGCTTCGCGATACGATGCCACGCCATACGCGTCGATCAAGTTTTGAAAACCTCTGGTGAACTTGTTCGTCCTGTTAAACGTCGGAGGGTTTTCGTTCGTGTAGATAACATTGAGGAAAGATGGTATCGAACTACCGCAGAGACGCTAAACAAAGTGGAAATATTAATTTTTGATTTTCTATTTTCATCTTCGAAAAAGAGGAAGCGAAGGAAATCTTTCAAGATTCAATTTGCTTTTTTTTACATTTTTGCATTAAAAAATTAGAGATAATT